AAGCTGGAGGGGAACGGCGGGAGGGGGGGGGGGAGAGAAAAATAACACCCCCGCGGAGGGAGATGTTGTTATTTTTTGCTGTTGTGAGTCTCTGACGTCACATCCACCTGCTGGGTAAACAACAAGGCTCGGTGCAAAGCGCACACACACAAAAAGCAACACACGCGCGCGCGGAGCTCGCAGTTGCAAGAGAGGGAGAGGAGCCGGGGGCAGCGCAGCCGCGGGGGAGAGGATGGGGTGGGCTGCAGGGCTCGGCGAAGGGGGGGAGCCGGGGAAACCCCCCCCCCCGCGGGAAGGGGGGGTTGGGAGCGGGGTGCGAAAGCTGCGCGGTGGGGCAGGGGCTGGGTGGGGAGCTCGGCGAGCAGCAGCCCGCACGGGCGAGCGTTCGGCCGCGCCGTAGCCAGCGGCTCTGGCCTCCCCTCGCGGCTCCTCGGCACTTGCAACCATGAAAGGCGGCGAGTTCGGGAGGTGAAAGTTCAGCCGAAGGACAAACCCCCGTGTGCGAGGAGCCGGGCTCGGCTTACAAAGGGCACGGAGCGGGGTTAGAACACGCGCGCCGGCGGCACCAGGGAGGTTCCTGCCAGCGAGGAGAAAGTGCCTTAAAAATCGCGAGTCGCTTGTTGCCCCCCTCCCCCTCCCTTTCTAGGAACAGGCTCAGCGCCTAGGACGGCGAGTTGTTCCACGCAAGTTACCTGCGAGTACTGCAGAGATTCCGGCCAGGAGGAAAGGGTTGGGGGGAGTTTTACATCCAGGGTTCAGAAACAGGGATGAGATTTGTTAGCGGGTTGCAACCAGGCTTGAAGTTAAATCGCCTGAAAGAAATCCAATAAAGGAGGCCGGGGATGCTTAATAAATGCCGCATTATTTCTAAACTCTTAGCACTAAATTAACTCCCCTCCTTAAAAAAGAAAGATACAAAAGGGGGGGGGAATAGGAGGGGAACCACTGAAGATTCATATTGCTACAGCCATAGCAGTAGTGGCTAGTTACTAGCATGTGGGCATTTCTTTCATTCATGCAGTTTGGAACAGTCTTGCTGCTCACAAACCTTTTTGCCTTTTAAAAACACTCTTGTTTAATATTCACCCATAACATGGTCCAGGCCTTTCTTTAAATGAATCAAATTTATAGTAACTGAAAAATGATTTTTGCACAACCAATTTATAATTCAGGACCTTTTAGGAGGCTCCCAGCACTTTGCAAAAAAAATGCTTCCCCAAATCCCTGTAAAGTAGGGAACAATTGTTTTATAGATCCATGTATATATGAGGCACTGAGAGGTTACATTAGCAGCCTAAAATCATGCAATGAGTCGGTAATAAAGCTGGAAATAGAATCCAGAATTCCTTGCCACCCAGTCCTGTGGTCTAAGCCCTCTCTTGCTATTGTGCTTCATATAAAGAATTACTTGCACTTGTCTATTAATAAATAATACATCTAAAATAACCAATGAATATTTTGTCCTGTTTGTACCAGTGCCAGGCAGAGGAAAAGACCAAATGCTAACTCAGAGTGTTGCATGAGATGCCCATACTTGCATGACTTGAGAGCTTACAGGATCTTGTCTCAGGAGCAAGAGTCAACGCCTGCAATCCACATTTAGAACAAAATTCCAATTGATCTTGATAGGAGTTTTGACTGAGGAAGGACTGAAAAATTGGATCCTCTGTCTCTATCTAACAGATAATAACTCATCGCTGCAACAGCTTCCTGGTAAAAATTTACTGCGTTTAAAAAAAAAAAAAAGAGCTGAAATATTGTCTTATTGTTCCAAGCATTAGATAAAGCACTACTAATATCTAATAGTGTTATGCCCAAGGACCATTGCACTTACGTGGTATGTTAGATCATCCACTGCTTCATGAACCACACTGGCATAAATGATGAGAGTTAAAACATAGATATAGCTGTAATTTAGAGAGAATAAACATGGCAAAGTGGCATTTCCTTGGTGGAGATTAGTTGGACTTTTAGAACCACTGACTGTTGTCCAGTTCAGTGACAGTTACTCCTATACAACTGTTATTCTGGGTCAGACACATATAATACTGCAAAGAGCACAAAAAACATCAACAAACTCCACGCATGAAATGCTGGTCCCATTGAAATCAATTGCACTTCTTCCAGTGATTTCAACAGGGCCAGAATTTCGCCCCTGGTCACAGAGGGAGGAAGTGACAGGCCCACGCGTTGGCTGGTGTTAGCCATCCCACTAGTTAAAATTATAAATATAAAATGTTTCCTGCTAACCTATACACACACAACCTCCTTTATACTCATTCTGTGTGAACAATGCCTACTGGTTTCTGATGTTCAAGAGGGCTGCATATAGAATGTCCGGCAGAGATCGACTGTGTAGATTGAAGATGAATATTTTACCTTTCCATTCTAAAACAATCAACTTGGTCCATGAGCATATCTACAGTAAGTGATGTGTTGAAATA